CACTGGGTCAAATGGCAGTTTCATATTTAATTTTGAGGAAACTCCGTATGTTTTCCATAATGGCTACACAGTCTGCATTCCCACCAGCAGTGCACTAGGGTTCCCCCTTCTCCACATCCTCACCAGCACTTGTCATTTATTGATTTGTTGATGGTAGCCATTCTGACACGTGAGGTGATGCCGCATTGTCATTTTGATTTGCATCTCTCTGATGATCAGTGACCTTGAGCATTTTTTCATGTCTCTTGGCCATCTGTATGTCCACTTTGGAGAAGTGTCTATTTGTTCATTGGACTGTTTGTCTTCCTTTTGTTAAGTTGTATGAGTTTCTTATATATTATGGGTATTAACCCTTTATCAGATGTATCGTTGCAAATATGTCCTCCCTTTTCATTGTCGGTTTCTTTTGCTGTGCGGCTTTTTGTTTTGATGTAGTCCCATTTATTTTCTTAGTTTTCTTTGCCTTAAGAGATGTATCTGTAAACATGTTGCTATGAGAGATGTCTTAGATTTTGCTGCCTATGGTTTCTTCTAGGATTTTTATGGTTTTACAACTTACATTTAAGTCTTTTATCCACCTTGAGTTTATTCTTGTGTATGGTATAAGTTGGTGGTCTAGCTTCATTTTTTTTTGCATGAATCCGTCCAATTTTCCCACATCATTTATTGAAGAGTCTGTCTTTACTCCATTCTATATGCTCTTGTCTCCTTTGTCAAATATTGAGTGTAATGGCTTGGGTCGATTTCTGGGGTCTCTGTTCCATTTCATTGACCTATATGCCAGTACTAGGCTGTTTTTGTTTTTTTCAGGCTGTTTTGATTACAGTGTCTTTGTAGTATAACTTGATATCTAGTGTTGTGATTCTTCCAACTTTGTTCTTAAGATTGATGTGGCTACTCGGGGTCTTTTTTGGTTCCATGTACATTTTTAGAGAATTTGTTCTAGATTTGTGAAATATGCTGTAGTTTAATAGGGATTACATTGAATCTGTAGATCAGGGGTCCTCAAACTTTTTAAACAGGGGGCCAGTTCACTGTCCCTCAGACCGTTGGAGGGCCGGACTATAGTTAAAAAAAACTATGAACAAATTCCTATGCACACTGCACATATCTTATTTTGAAGTAAAAAAACAAAACGGGAATACAATATTTGTATTTGCATGTGGCCTGTGGGCCGTAGTTTGAGGACCCCTGCTGTAGATTGTTTTAACTTTCAGCCTCAAATTTGTAAATTGGAAGAATGTGTTATTTTAGTTATATTTTTTTTTGACAGGGAGGTTTCTGTTTGTAAAACAAAAACACCTCCCTCGCCCCCCCCCCCCCATTACAAAATGCAAGTCTGATTATGACAGCCCCTTGGTGTAAACTGCCTAATGGGTTTGGGGTTGTTCTAAAAAAGAAAAAAACCTTTCATCAAGACCAGGACTGTCCAATAAAAATACTATGTAAGCCACATTTTAAAAAGGAAAAACAGGGGGAGGTCATTTTAAACTATTTACTTGACCCATCTATCAAATCCTAGGATTTTATACCTAGAGGATCTCTCATTTCATGTGGCCATGTGGCTACCCATGCAACAGCACAGGGCAGCCCTCCCATGGCCTGGCTGCTGCTGCATCCTGTCCCTGCAGCCACCATCGCTCCCCCACGGATCCCTGTAGAGGTCTTCTCTCTCTTCCTTCTGGATCTAAAGCTGACTCATCCTTCAGATGTCAGGTCAATGCCCGGCCTTCAGATTCCTTTCTAGACGCCCCCATCCCATGCTTTTCTCACCACGCCCACAACTGTACTTTCCCATGTACTTAAGACCACTCTCCCGCCAGCCAGCTTGTATCTCCAGGACAGAGACCATTGCGGGCTTTTGTTTTAACATCACTCCCCGGGCTTAGCATCTTGCAGAGTAGGCTTTCAACCTTCTGCGGGGTGGAGACTGAGTATGGTGTAATGTTCGTTGCTTTTCCTGCTCTCTGGGAATGGCTCCTTATAAAGGGACTCCTCTGTGTACCTCTGCTAGAGAACCCGAGACACAAAGCACTCAGTGCTGAAAACGTTTAAGTAGAAATTTAAGCACAAAGATGATAAATATTTCTTTCCCAGATTACGCACCCCTTAAAAATACTCAGCTCCTCTCATGATTTGGGCTGTAAGGAAAATTACTCTTCAAGCTTGAAAGTAAGTATTGCCCTTCGGTGACATTTTCCCCTTGAGAAGCTGCGGAGGAGGAAGGGGAGATCACTGTCTGTTTAACGGGCAGATCTGAGCGCCAAACGTGGAGGTGCTGCCGTTTCTCCTTCCTGTTAACACTCTTCCAGGTGAACAAGCTCAAACCCAGTTGCCCAACGGATCCAGCGGATACCAAACTTGATGACCCCCATCTAGGAGGGCTCCAGCCCCTCGACCATGTTGCAAAGCCAAACTCCTCCACCTTCAGTCACTATTGTTCCTTCTCAGGACAGTAAATTTGAAGACTCCCTCTACGCCACTGCCCCCAAATATGGTTGAATTATCCATTTCTCAGGGCCTACCTCTCTCACCTTGAAGTCTCGTGTGCATGCGGTAAGAATCACTCGGGAGCCTCGGGCTACACATTCCCTTGCAGCTTTCCAAAAACCCAACCTAGTGCAAACAACTCTGGTGTTGTACAAGGGCGATGCATTTGAATATCAATAGTCTATTTCAAATCCTAGCCTACCTCCAAACTGCAAGCTTTTTGTTTGTGGGTTTAACAGGCATACATCCCAGAGCCTGCCCAGCACCTCCCGAAAAACCTCAGATAATGAAAAGATTATAGCTGCCGACACAAGCTCCATATCTACTTATTATTCAGTTCTTGGGATTTTCTATGCTACAAAATTAATAATGTTGAAAGGGCTTTAAAATGAGAATTTTCTTTTACAAATGAATTTGCAGGTAATCTAGAGCTGGTGCTTCAAGTCAGAATTCAGAGCCCCAAAGAAAATGACTTCATTGACGTTGACTGAACAAAGAGCTGCTATCAAAACCAACTAAAAGTGAGTTGCTGTGAACTGGAGATTAATCTAGCATATGAAATAGATCATCCCTCACCCCCGAATTCCCAATAGCTCAGTGTTAAGACATTACATGAACACAGGCATTACATGAACACTTATCTCACCCAACTGTCCAAAAAAGAGACATTTTAAATGCTGTGGGGTGGGTGCAGAAATGGTACTTTTTCATTCATGAATGAGTGAGTCTCAGTTTGCCCATTATCCATGGACCTTTTTAAAAGTTATTTCATGTTTTAAATTTGTCGCTCTGGTGAGATGACTGATTTGGGAAATAAATTCAAAGGCAAGCTCTCTACCTGCTCAGGCCAAGGAAACGGTGGGAGCCTCCATAGGCCTCACAGAAGCACCTCTGCACTGAACATACTCACCCAAGTAATGTTTTTTAAGACAGCATGGCCCCTGACACAAGCCATCCTACAGTGCTATGTTCCCGAGGATGTCATATGGGTGTCAGGGGTCAATTCCCAAGTGCCACCTCCATAACGTATTTTCAATTTTTAAAACTTTGAGGGAAGAGAGGGTTAGAAACACCAATGATGAGAATCATGGATCAGCTGCCTCCTGCATGCCCCCTACTGGGGGATCGAGCCTGAAACCCGGGCATATACCCTGACCAGGAATCAAACCATGACCTCCGGATTCATGGGTCAACGCTCAACCACTGAGCCACATAGGCCAGGCTGATTTTGTTTTGAAATAGTGAGGACAATTTAGTTAGGCAGGGCTCAGGGTTGGCGATGTTGATAGCCTGAAACCATCATTTATGCAAATGTGAGATTTTAGGTTGTTTTTTAGTGAATATAGCAGAATCAATTGAAAAAATTAATGTTGGGAGGAAAGCTTACACTATCCTAGTAGCAGAACATTAACAGGTTTTACCTAGTGCAGTGGTTCTCAACCTGTGGGTCGCGACCCCTTTGGCGGTCGAACGACCCTTTCACAGGGGTCGGTCGCCTAAGACCATCCTGCATATCAGATATTTACACAATTCATAACAGTAGCAACAATACAGTTATGAAGTAGCAACGAAAATAATTTTATGGTTGGGTCACAACATGAGGAACTGTATTTAAAGGGCCAGAAGGTTGGGAACCACTGGCCTAGTGGTTGGTTACAATAAGATAACAAGGGCAGCAATTTAATTATCACAAGGATCAGAAAATAGCCATTCCAAACTTGTTAAACACAGCCTGCACCAATATATATATTTAAAAAATGTATTTCCTATGATAAACTTGAACAGTAATAAGGCTGCAGATTAATACAAAAAATTCGAGGTGCTTTAAGAGTAATTATAGTTTCACTTCATCCACAGGCTGTGAAAACTAATTTGAGTAAGGTGCAATTCCACTGAAAACTTTCTCATTTTAAGATTTTTTAAGACACTGAAATGAACCAAGTACCAGAATGCTGTCTTTAAAGTTTCAGGACATATTTAGGTTAAAATATAGAATGATCTAGAATTCTTGGTCTCCCAGTTAATTTAAACAGGGTGACTGGCAGCTCCTAACTCCGCCCTTTTACACCCCTCAGAGCTGAAGTCCAGGGAGGAGCGCCTGGCCATCAGGGTAAGTCCTGAACTCACCCCAGGGGGACCCCCGTCTCACTTGGGGAGCGTGTTTGGGAACAAGAGGGCCACTGCTAATCAACACTTCACATGTCATGGCGCCCCCACTAGGAGTAGAACCAGACCAAAAGGCAGCAGGTTCTCTGAGGTGACAACCTAAGCAGAACAAAGGGAAGGACCGGAGGCCAGCTCTTCTGGGCCCGGCAGTTTTCCTTCCTGGAATGGTGTAACCTGAGAGAAGAGCTTTCCTGGAAGCTGCTTTAACAGCAGAACAAAAGCATCCGCCCCCTGGCTGACATCCCATTTCTAGTTTTAAAGAACGTTAAGACCCTACATTTGGCACTCAAGGAACTGTACCTTTTAAATCTGCCAAACTGAAGGAGGGCTCATGTCACAAAATACACTGTGAATACATCTGTTTCATTAGGCACTACCTACACCAAAACCTGTCCCTTTTTAACTTGAAATTTTATTAAGAAATATCATACAAACAGAAGCACACAGGGTACAGCCAGAAGGAACCACGCACTCAATTCCATGTATTTAACAGCCTGGTTCTGACCTTCACAGAAATATCAGCCGAGTGGAAGTGTTCTTCTGCAGCTTGCTTTTCTGACCAGTCATCCATGTTCACACCTGTAGCTGTAGTTCAGGTTGACTTGTGTGGAATTCCACTGTAGAATATATCACAATACTTATCCAGTGGGTTATTAATGGACATTTGGGGGCCTTTCCAGGTTTTTGTTGTTTTTCCCCCTTTTCTTCCTACTACAAATGACACTGTTATAACATTCTAAGTCCATCTCCTGGCACACATGTGTAAAGAGTTTCTCTAAGGTATGTATCTAGGGGGTTAGAAGAGCCACAAGAGAAATTATGACACAGCTAGTGTCAACCTGTCTCCCATTTTTTCTGAATATTCTTAAATCTGTTGACAACTGATCTATTTGGGATGGCTGAGAGGAAGAGAAAGATTAACTATGAAACGCTCAAACTGCATTGTTAAAATAGACACTAAAAATCTGATACAGTGAAAACCATTTCTCAGCACTGGTTTACTTGAAACGTACTGCTAGGTCTCCCATGTTTCAAAATGCAGGAGTGAGACAGCAAGATTCACAACATGTGGTATACTATCATATATTATAAAAAACTACACATGCAGGCTTACATCCCCCCTAAGCCCACTTCCCCACAAAACACCACTTGGAAGAGTAATTGATAACAGTCGTAGCTCCTGTAGAGGAAGAACAGAGGGACAGGAGAAGGAAAACATGGATCACTAAACACTTCTACTGATGTACTGTTTAGAATTTTTAAAAAATTTTATTTTTCTACCGTTGCTTTTTTTGAACCATGTACAAGCACTATGATTGTGATACAAATTTTTTTAAAAAAGTAGTCAGCTGGGGTTCTTTGACACAAAAAAACTAAAAATCAGTCCGAACTCAAACTTGTAAATCCGAATAAAGTCCCATTCCACAGAAAGTGTAAACAATTCTCAAGTGTATTTCCTGTTTCATGCACTTTAGAAAAAAATGTTTAAAAACATTCACACAGCTTATCTACAATGCATTTTTAAAAGCACAGAATGGATGCAAGCCCAAAAAACTTCTAACCTAGGTTGTAGAGCGTCGGCCTGCGGACTGAAGGGTCCCAGGTTCGATTCCGGTCAGGGGCATGTGCCTGGGTTGCGGGCACATCCCCAGTGGGAGATGTGCAGGAGGCAGCTGATCGATGTTTCTAGCTCTCTATCTCTCTCCCTTCCTCTCTGTAAAAAATCAATAAAATATATTTTTAAAAAAAAATAAATAAAAAAATAAAAAAATAAAAAGTCTTAACAAAAGGGGTAGATCAATACAATGTACAAGAGTCTCTACATTGCAGTTGGGAGGATGCCAGAGCAGGAGACACAATTCCCAGGGCAATTAAAAAAAAAAGAGGCACCACAAAAAGTAAGCTATCAGAGTGATACCATAGGTGATGGCTGGTCAATTAAAAGTTCACCCCATTTATTTTAATCAATGAATTGTTTTAAACCTTTTCTTTTAGAGACATATGCTGAAATATTTACAGATTAAATGATACATGTGAGACCTGAAAATGATTAAGGGGGGGAGTAGGGGACAAACACACATACAAAATAAGATAAGCCTTGAGTATTACCAGTGATGAGTTTTAACAGAGGTTAATGATACTGGTTCTACTATGTGTATGTCTTTTATTGGCTCCCCTTAAAGGCTTTTCAGAAAGGAAACATGCATTAACCAACTAGCAACTTTTAGGTCTGCAAGGCTGAAATGTGTATTTCTTATACAGAGCCTCTTAGTACTGGATTCTTATGAATTTGATTACTAAGAATCATTTCCCCTTAAGCCTAATAAATTTTGGGTGTTGGGAGTGACCCAACTTCTAGAGCTCCATAACTAATTAATCCTGGACACTTTAAGGAGCCAGGCCTCCCTCCAAATCCCACATAACTTCAATATCAACCTAAGTGTTTGTAGAGATACTCATTTCCTGTACATTATTAAAACGTTAGCTATTCCAAGTGAGGCAGAAAGGAATAATAAACCTGGCATTTTAATACCTTAATACTTAATAATAGAATATAGTAACCTGTCACTTTAAATTCTTTCTCCCTACAGGTAATCATGTCTAACTACACAAAGCAATGCTTGGAGGTGGCTGATTTTGTGTTAGATTGTTTTTTCATCCCATCTTAATTATCATGTGAATCATCTTTGACAAATTCAGATAACCCATTTGCTGCATCTTCAGAATCACTTAGGTAAGCCAGGAGTGCACTGTCCTCAAAGCATTATCTCATAGAGCCTCTGAATTGTCAGCTTCATGGTTTTCCAAAGCTGGGTGGAGAGTATTTTAGTAAATTCTGTGACAGTTCATTATGCCTATTGAAAAAATGCAGTGGCATAACACTGAGGCATAGACCTACTAGATTCCATGTGCTAGCTCTCCAACATGGAGCCAGATGACCTTGGGTAAGTCATTTAAACCACTCACTCAATTTCTTTACCTATAAACTGATGGCAATACTTGAAAACTATAAATCACAAAATATGACATGTAACGAGGTAATTTTATACAGTTGTTGACAGAGTGGGCTATCAATAGGAACTCGCTACCAAATTTTCCATACGTGGCCAAAGGGGAAAGAAATCATCAGCTTATCCATCAGTTTTTAAAAAAATCCTTGTTAAACGTATTACACACCCATAGAAATTTACATTTGTATTCTAACAAGATTGGGTAAAAGAAATCTTGATACACGATTTAAAACAAAGACCAAAAATGAGTTAAAAGTTCTTGAATGCTCTTCTACACCATTACACCACAGCTAGAGGATAGTGATCATCAGACGGATGTGTTGAATTTACTACCACTAAAGATCTCTCTCAGAGATGTAAAAATATATTGTAGTGCACTATACATCTTTGCTACTTAAAAGCAAAATTCAAATTTACTCCTAACTACCCCAAATTGAAGCACCATTATTAAAAACATTTAAACTGTGGAAATGCTATAAAAATTAGTCTTAAACAGAACCACATAAAACTGTGCACTAATACCTCTAGTGTAACAGTGTACCTCTTATATTTAAAACAAGGGACTAGTTCAGAGTCAATGCCTTTATTAGAAAAAGATGAATACTAAAACTTTCCAATGACAGAGACAATCAAATCTGTAACAGAAAGTCAGATACTTTATTTTCACTTCTAAATCCAAAGGCTAGGAATAGCAGTTGTAAAAATGGAATCCCACTTAGTCTGATTCACACGAATACTAACGTTTAATCCTGTTTTCAAAGTCCAAGAGTGAAAACTTGCAATTAAACACTGAGCAAGCCACATGTTTAGGTAATATTTCTTAAAAAGTCTTAAAGAAAAAAATATGATACATGACCTAAGTTTTCAGTGGCATATATATATTAACACATGTTCTGAAATCTGGTAGGTCACATGAGTCCTGAATTAATTTTTAATAATAATAATAAAAAAAACAACTAACTGAGCTTTATACTTTTTCTATGCCACTATAGTTTTCTTTCACCTCATTTTAATGTCGGTCTTCACTTTATGCCGTTTTCAGTTTTCTTCCAAAAATCTTCGAACAGTAGTCCTATAATGCAAAATTTGGGGAAAAATGATAATTAGACAACATGCAAAAGGCAAACTTTTATGACTAAGTGTTGGCCCAGTCACTAACTGCTAATAATATATGTATATAGAATGTTTTTGTATTCTTTTTCATTACCAAGGCATCAGTGTGGTCTTAAAGCCATGTGCCTGTGTATACTTGCCTATGTGGGAATGGCTCACACAGACACCACATTATACTGCTGTCCTAGAAAAGGAATGCCACCGATAAATCAACTAATTGGTACTCCCTTTCATTAGGAATGTTCTATCCCACGCCACTAGCCCAAAGAATGAATAGTTTGTAGGTTTTAAGAACTCTGATAAAACCTGACTTTTAATAGTTCTTTAAAAACCCAAATTCATTCTGTATGGTTCATCAGTTCTTTACATTTCAGAGTGAAAATGTCTATCCTTGCTATTCACTGCTGCTTTAAATGTATCAGCCAGTGACTATTCCTATATACCTATGGTTGACTGCAAAATTCTCCTACACAGTAGGAAATATTAAACACATACCTCTTAAAGACTTGAGAATTGCATTGAATGTAACAAGGCGAATAATATGAAGTGTTTATTGTATTTAAAATTCTTTAAAGATATCTAATTCTGGGCACCACTGCATCCCTACATACAGTTGAAAAAAAATTCCATTCTGTTAACATTTGATTTATAAGTTTCACGCAATACACAAAAAACCCCTCTGTGCTTCTTGTAAAGAACAAAAAAGATACACAACAGTTAAGCGTAAAGATCACAGGCAATAGCATTCAAACATGGATGTGGGTAGAGAAAGGAGTACCTGGCATGAGTACCTGCTTAGTTTGACTGAATCCTTGATTTTTAATTTGGCTTTTCATGGGCCGCTCACAACACCAACGCTGTGTGAGGTATGGTAGTCAGCTGCAATAATTCATAAACCCTACACTTCCATCAATCCAATGCTACTGGCTCTCGAGTTACAGAACAAACTGCATTAGAATGCAAGGCAATAAAGCAAAAAACTAGAAACATCCTTGACAAAGAAATAACTAGCAGTTTAATTAAAACAAAGTAGTCCAACATGTGCCTCAGAAATATTTAAGTTTTTAAAGCAATGTCTCTGCCAATGTACCAACACAAGATGGACTTAATACCAAAAAGAAAAAAAAAACATTTCAACCTTTTTATTTAAAAAAATAAAAAGAAATGACAGCAAAATCCCTAAAAAAAGGATAATTAACTGTTCAATGGCGACTACATTACAAATGTGGGCAGTAATTTCCAAAGAGGCACTCTATTGGGGGCACGGGTCTGCTACAAAAGCTGAGACAAAACAATGTACCTCAACACGTTTTGCAGGACTACACTGTCTTTTCCTTCAGAAGATGTATGTCTTCTTACTCGGCTTAGTTCCATCTTCATCTGTGCATACTTACGCTGCACTGTCAAACAGTAACAAAAAGCCCTAATCAAAGTGAGAAACAATACACTTACCTCTGTCTGATCTGAGGTCTTATCAGATCAGTTTTAATTGGACTGAGTGTCACCTTCAGATTTAATGTCTTCACTGGTCCCATTGACCTCATTCTTAGTATCACTTTCCTTTGATTCAGTGTTTGCGTCTTCACTCTGTTTTTCTCGACTACTGGACTTCACACTACTTTTTTTATCATCAGATCCCCTCTTTTCTGCCATAAAAGAAGACATTGATCATGGATTTTAAAGTAAAATACATGATACTTTGAAAAGTGAAACAATCAAGAGATAAAAAGACAATCACTTCCCACAGACTACAAAATACACAGTTTGGTCAATCCATCAAAGAGATAAAATCAGTAATTTATGGAGGAGTGGGAAATCAGAGAAAACAAAAGGTAAAATAGTGGGCAAATTATCCAACTAGTAAGAATCTAAAGTACAGGTAAGTCCAAATCACTGCAGAAACTAAAATTTAAGTAAATTTTATTTAGGGTAAAAACCACCAAAAAGCAATGGGAAAGATATGGAAGACAGTACACAGAAGCTGTGTTCACATGAAGTAAATTTATTAAGTTAAATGGGTGAAAAAAGTTGTATATTTAGTAGGCACGTTTCTCCAACTATTTTTAAGTACAAAAGATTGCTTACATATCTATACTAGAAGCCCAGTGCACAAAATGCGTGCACTGGTAGGGTCCCTAGTGGCTGCTGGCCGGCCCCGCCCCCTGGTCAAACTCCGGAACTACTACTGGTAGAGGGGACAATTTGCATACTATGCTTTTATTATATAAATTATATTTGAATGCCCAAGGACAAGCCCAATGAAGGAAAGTGGGTCTTAAATCTCAATCCAAGTACTGAACTTGTTTACGCTTTGCTAAGTAATATTTAGGCCAACTCAAGAGTTGTTTTTCTAAAAGGAGACATTAAGTTCAACTCAGCTACAAATAAAGAAGAATGAAAAAGTGAGTCTCGAGGTTTTTCTTGTACTGTTTTCTTTGGAATGGTGACGCCTCAGACTAAAGGTAAAAAGTGGTACACAGAATAAGTACAGGGTAGCCTTTTCAGTTCCAAGCATTACCTAACAAAAGTTTTCTACAGGAAATGTTAAAGCAACCTACAAACTTTCTGGGGAAAAAAACACATTTTTTTATCCTTACAACTAAGTTAAGAATAGCTGGTCTAGCAGACTAGTTCATAAGACAGACGTTTTAAGAGAAGCAGAACCCTTCACAGAACCTGGACAAAGGTGTTAAGACATAACATTAGTAACTGGGAGAGGAATGGTAATGAAAACAAAAAATGGTATAAGGGACACCATCCAAAGAATGTAAGAATTGAAAATCTTATGTGAAGGAGCATGGTCAGTCCACAACACTTGCAAAATGCACAAAGCAACGTCCAAGTAGCTGACTGTAGGACTTGCTTCACGTCTGTCTGTCCACTTATGAGAACTGTGCCAGTACAGTGTGCTCTAACTGACCTTGTGGGAAAGTCCTCCCTTTGTGCCTTATGGGCTTCTCCGGTGCACAGGTAGCTTCAATGAGGAAGAGTCGTCTTGTTGCCCCGTAGAGGACTAGTAGTCAGTCCAATAATCTTATCTTCTGCCCTATGTAAATATGGTAGATCTTAATAGTCCTAAGGACATCCACAAAGTGTGGTGGATTTTAGGGCTATGGATTAAAAAAAGGGAACTCTCTTGACAAAGAGAGTACCCTAAATTGGTTGGTGGTAAGAAAAATGGGTTTGTGTGAGAAATCACTTTTCATTTGCCGAGTTAGATAAAGTGCTTCCATCACAGCACCCGGAGTAGTGAACTCCCTCTTACTCATTAGCATTATCAAATGTTGGCTACTGCTCATATCTGGCCTCAAAGTTCAGACCTTCAGTCATTTATATACCTGGGAGTGCCTGAGTGGCAATTTCAAAAGCCAATAAAATCATATCACTTCTAAAAGAGGCCCCAAAGTTAAAGATAAATCAATCACAGCACACTCAGCCGTTCAAGATGGATCTGATGCAGTTTTCTCTGAATCAAGCCTTCTATCCTTCTCAATATCTCACCAGGAAAATCCCGGTTTGTCATATTCTAAACACAACACATCTTAGTTTACTTGAAAGTTATATTACATTCCATGATGTCATTACAATTAGGATTATAGCTAAGCAATTCAGGACATCTTTTTTTATCCAGAAATTACGTAAGCACATCTGTTTTAGGCCAGTGGCTTTTATTGTTCAACGTTGATCCCAGATAGCTATGAAAGCTTGCTAACTTTTGTCCCTGAGAACCAATCCAACTATTTTAAGTAACATGAATGATGTTATAACAAAGAACTTTAGTTCTCAAAGATAAGTGATTAATTTGATCTCTGACATCAATATCTGCCTCTTAAGATTTGACCCCTCACCCAAAAATACATCATACAGAAAGTCTTACAAAAATGTTGGGTAAAACTTTCTCAAAGCTAACAGTTATTCCTGTGTAGCCTCTGAATCACAGATGTAACTTCTGAACTTAAATGGCAAATACTAAAGCTCATGCAAGTTTAAAAAACGGTCCCTGTTTCCTATGTTTTAACATTTGCTCCATGTTGTAGAAAAAGCCAATATATGTAAATATATTTTAAAAGAAAGTGAACTGATTTAAGGAAAAATAAAAGCAAAAGACCAAAAATAAGTTTACTGTTTGCGCTGCTAGTTCTCTAATTCACTCTAGCAAAAACCCGAGTCTGACCCCCTCCAACCAAAAAAACCAGAACAAGCTAGTTCCATAAAGAAAACGATAAACGAGTACCACATGAATGTCCAGTACAATAAACTCAAACAGCAGCACACACATTATGTGGTGACCAAACACGGACACAGGCAGAAGAGTATGGAACAAGCAGAGCCAAGAAAATTAGAAATAGGCCCTCTCATTCCTAAATGTCATGCAAAGCAGAATAGTTAATATAAAAGACGCTCAAAGAATCTGAAGAAAATGAAGAAGACCTCGATTATTAAAAGAATTATCTTTCAATAAAGGCTAAGTTAAAGGATGAGAATATCCTTGTGAAAACATGCCAAAGACAAAATGGGACAGCCTATTAATAGTGCACAATAAACCAAATACTAAAATGCCACAGGAAACAAACAAAAAAAGTAGAGGGGAAACAGCATGATGTTTCATTAGAAAACATGGTTAAAACACATGGTAAGATACTAAACTTCTGTGAACTTAGAAGTTAATTACTGCCCTAGCTGGTTTGGCGCAGTGGATAGAGCATCGGCCTGCGGACTGAAGGGTCCCAGGTTCGACCGCCAGTAGGGGGTGTGTAGGAGGCAGCCGATCAATGATTCTCTCTTACCACTGATGTTTCTATCTCTCCCTCTCCTTTCCTCTCTGAAATCAATAAAAATATATATTAAAAAAAAGTTAATTACTGAGTTACATGAATGTTACACATGAGGACCAACGCAACAGTGTACATTTACTCTGCAAGACATATTATGGAACACTACAGCAGATTTTTTTTTAAATGCTGCCAATAACCAAGTTAATATATTCTACAGCTTAAAAACACCTGAAAGATAATGCAATACTTAGAATAATCTAGATCAGTGATCGGTAAACTCATTAGTCAACAGAGCCAAATATCAACAGTACGATTGAAATTTCTTTTGAGAGCCAAATTTTTTAAACTTAAACTATATAGGTAGGTACATTGTTATTAACTTAATTATGGTACTCCTAAGGCTTAGGAAGAGCCACACTCAAGGGGCCAAAGAGCCGCATGTGGCTCGCGAGCCGCAGTTTGCCGACCACGGATCTAGATAAGACTTCAGGTTATAAATTGAATAATGTAGTTTTAATGTGTCCTAAGAAAACACCAGGTCAACTGTCATTCTCACAAATTAGAGCAGGAGAGGGGACAATAATGCCCATCTCCCACTGAATGGTGATCACTGTTAAGTGAAAAGGAGTATAGCTTGAAAATGGAACTCTGCCATTTCAAAGAAGATTGAGGAGGCAAGAGTGTAAAAATAGTACTTAATGAATCAAATTCTCACATAAACTAACCTTTCTCCTTGGATTTTCTATCTTGTTCTCTGTCCCGACTTTTGCTCCTGTGCTTGTATGACTTTCGATCCCGGCTTTTTGATCTCCTTCGATCTCGACTACGAGATCTATGCTTTCTTTCGGATCTATCATGGCTTCTGCTTCTTCGGCGATCTCTACTTCTTAATAATTTAAAATGAAAGGAAAGCAGTTTCAGCTGATATTACAAGAGAAATTATATACCACTGAATAAATAATAAGATTAAACTAAATTTCCCCTTAAAAGGCAAATGAATATAATTTACTAAACCCATTTACACTAGACATCTTAAGAACTGAAAATCTAACTTCAATTTTTCAAATAGTGCTAAGATAGTTATCATGCTCTTTGACCCCTTCTTTTTTTTTTTTTAAATATATTTTATTGATTTTTTTACAGAGAGGAAGGGAGGGAGATAGAGAGTCAGAAACATCGATGAGAGAGAAATATCGATCAGCCGCCTCCTGCACATCTCCTACTGGGGATGTGCCCGCAACCAAGGCACATGCCCCTGACCGGAATCGAACCCGGGACCCTTCAGTCCACAGGCCGACGCTCTATCCACTGTGCCAAACCAGTCCCGGCGCTTTGACCCCTTCTTTAATCACAACTCTAATTAAAAGTTAATTTAATTTCATATTTTTGTTTTTAAAGAATTAGTTACGTTTTACTTCTTAATTATGCTTGATGTTGTTCAAAGCAAAAGTAGATAATCTTACCTAAAAAAACTTATAATTTAAATGTTTTCTTAGGACCACTGAGAAGTATTTAAAAGACCACCTAGCCCTAACCGGTTTGGCTCAGTGGATAGAGCATCGGCCTGCGGATTCAAGGGTCCCGGGTTCGATTCTGGTCAAAGGCATGTACCTTAGTTGTGGGCAGATCCCCAGTGGGGAAGTGTGCACGAGGCAGCTGATCGATGTTTCTCTCTCATCGATGTTTCTAACTCTCTATTCCTCTCCCTTCCGCTCTGTAAAAAAATCAATAAAATATATTTAAAAAATAAAAAAAATAAAAGACCACCTAGTAAACTCACTTCCTAAGTAAGATTGCATCAAACCTCCCCAGACTGATGGGAAATTGCCAAGAATTTGCCTTGAAGATGGATTAGTTCACTGATTCAACTTTCATAATCCATCCTCATGCTTAATGATACTTAAAACCATCCCAAGTATCAAGGAATAACAAACACTAGTAATTACTACTGTTTTTACTAATACACGCACTGCACCAGGCACTGTCTCGCGTGTTCTACAAACCTGCTTCGCCTTCTTTCTCTACTTCGTGACCTTTTGTGGTCCCGAGACCTGCTGCATCTTCGGTCAGAAGTTCGGCTTGAGTGGCGACTTCGTGAACGACTTCTCTTTCTTCTCTCCCTATCGCGAGCCCTTTCTTTTTCTCTCTCTTCCTCTTCTCTTCGTCTTTTCCTTTCTCTTTCTTCCCTTTCTCTCTCCCGCTCTTTTTCTCTTTCTTCTCGTTCTTGCTTCTCTTTTTTTAAACGCTCATCACGATCAGGTTCTTCAGTTCTTTTTCTTAATTTTTCCTAAGGAAATAAATTTTTTTAGAGCTATAAACTTTAAAGACATTGTCAAACAATGGTTATCTAACATGGAGCATTTGTAGACCAACTTAGAAAATTTTATGCCTTAAAGGGAAATTCCAACACCACATACATACACAAGATAGCATTACATGACTAAATCCTCAGGAAAATTCTTTTCCCCAAATCATGGAGTGAAGACAATAAAATACTTTTCTTATCTAACTGATTAAGCAAAGTTTTATAGGGATTATCACTGCCTCAAATAACACACTAACAAAATATCACCAAGAGGTTTATATCTATGTAATCAATCTTTAGCCATAATAAAATATATTAGCTATTGCTAAAATATATGTTTAAAAGAAACTTACTTTTAATTCCTCTACAGTAGTTTTGATTTTAGCATAGCCCATGTGCTGTTTTCCCATTAAATGGTCATCTACCCGGGACTGGGCATCTCCTACGATCAAAAAAGCTCCACACACTTCACAAACTTCCATTTGTTTTTCTTGGGCAGCAAAACTCTCAATTGTCTAAAATGATAAATCAGTTATAAGAATGTCTGAGGACGAGAAAACAAACAAACCCCAAAAGAATACTTAACATTTACAGCAGACTTAATTTTGTGAACTGCTATTTCCCATCTCCCCCAGCCTTAATACCAGCAGCAATTGGGTATACTTTTTAGAGAGGGGAAGGGTGACAATAGTAACCACTCTTCGTCTCATCTAGGAAATGCTGAGTCCTCACTGCTCAACTGTAACCATTGAATTATCTGCACCACCTTGAAAAAGTTAATCTTTTAAAAAGCTACCTATTTTATACTCTATTAAGTTCATTTTTTGTTAGATTCAATAGGCTAAAGGTGTCACTTCCATAGTAAAAATGTTTTTCAAAATCATTAAGGTATTAATTGAGCATAATCTGAACATATCCTAGTCAGCAGTTGGGAACCAATTGTATTCTACCATCAATATCCATGAATACATATTCTCTAATTAAGACAGTTTATTAAAAGCTGAAGATATTTTCAGAGTATACCAATATTAAAGATTAATATGTAACGAGTAACTTATTTTAAGAACAAAAAATACACAAATACGATAGTTCCAGTTTGCCCAATCTTCACTAACACTTGATATGGTCAGTCTTTTTTATTTTAGCTATTCTGATAGGTGTACAATAAACCCGAGAATACTCATGATGATATAAGGCACCAGTTGGCAAGCCAGCAGCTAGAGGCCTACTTTTGTAAATAAAATTTTACTGGATAAAAAGCCTCACCCATTTGTTTATGTATTGTCTAAAGCTGCTTTCATAAAGGCAGAGCTAGGTAGCTGCCTCAGGACAGTGTGGCTTGCAAATGTAAAGTATTTATTATGCAGCCCTTTGTGATAAAGGTTTGCTGATTCTTAATGGAGGACACTAGAAAATTGTTCACAGAGGGTCTCAAACAAAAATAGGTTCTAGTAATTCACAGCAAACAGCCTGGGTAAATCAAAATGAGGTTGCTACTCACCGATGTTGTGGACCTAAGCAATTCTCTCTCTTCTTTTAACTGTTCAACTAATTTCATCATTCCTTGGGCTTCTTCTACTTTTCCTTCAGATCCTAATTCTTCAATCTAGGGGGGATTAAAACAAATAAACACATTCAAGCTCCTTTCTAACGAAATCATCCAAATACCTCCCCTCCCCCCCGTGCTTCATTAGCATGGTTGTTTGGGTCTTTCTGTTTGGTTTTGTTCATGAAGCCTCTGTTTATTTACCCTTTTGATTTTTTTATAGCATTAAGAAAGTATACTTGACATGTAATACGCTACTTATTTTAAAGTGCACAATGTGGTTAAATTTTGACACACATGAAACCAATACCTTCATCTAGATAATGAAAACTTCCATCACCCCAATAGATTTCCTTATGCTTCTGTAGTATCTCCTCCCCAAACCACCACTGATTTGCTTTCTTTCACTATAGATTATTTTGCATTTTGTAGAATTTTATATAAATGGAACTATGCACTCTGGGGGGGTGGGGGGGGGGTGGTGCGGGGTGCGGGGCCTGTGGCCTGGCTTCACTCAGCCTAATTAACTTAAAATTCATCATACTGTTACGTGTAATCTATCTATAGAAAATCCTAATAGCAAATCAACTGAATGGCAGAATGACCGATCGCTATGAAGTGCACTGACCACCAAGGGGTAGAGGCTCAACGCAGGAGCTGCTCCCAGCCAGCAGGCCCCAACTGTTGGTGGCAGCAGGGGGCGGGGCCAGCGCCAGGCCAGCCAAGGTGGGTGAGAGCGGAGTCCTTGATCACTCTGCTGGTCGCCCTACAGATCGGCCCTGATTGCCCCGCCAGGCCTAGGGACCCTACCCACGCACAAATTTTTGTGCACTGGGCCTCTAGTTCCTTTATATTACCGAGTAGTATTCCATTGCATGGATACATCATAATTTGTTTATCCATTCACCTGTTGATAGACATTTTAGTTGTAGGTTTTTGTTTTTTTGCCTACTATGAATAAAATTGCTATACACATTGTATACATTGGCATACAACTCTTTGTGTAAACATGTTTTTATTTCTCTTGGGTAAATATCTAGTAGTGAAATGGTTCATGGTATCTCCTTTAACTTAAGAAATAGATAAAACTCTTCTGCAAAGTGGTTATACCATTTAATATTCCAGCAGCAGTGTACCATAGTTCCAGTTTGCCCACATCTTCACTAACACATGGTATGGTCAGTCTTTTTAATTTTAGCTGTTTTGATAGGTGTACAACTAGTACCTTGTTGTGGTTTTAATTTGTATTTTCCTAAGGATATTGAGCACCTTTACACGTATTTATTTGCCATCCTCCTATCTTCTTTGGTTAAATGTTTATTCTAAGTATTTCCTGATACTAATGCACACAGTTCTTACCTGTTGCAGGAGTACATCAATTTTATCTGTTAGAACCTGAATTTTTTCTTCATTTTTGCCTGTTGGGCCAGCTGCCTATTGAAGACAATAAAATGTATTATCAAACAGTAAAGAACAAAAGTAAACATTCAAACTCTCACATATTGTATTTAATAATTAAAATGTTGAATCACAAGGATAGTAACTCAGTTATCTTCAATTTCTGTTAGTCAATTACATATTGTCAGTTACTAACATTTAAGAGAAAAATCTGATTAGCAAAATCAGTATTACATTTACTAATAAAGATTGAAAAAATGCCTTTTAAATAAGTTTTATGTCATTTTAAAAGAACACAAAGTAATGAATGAACTTGAACACAAGTTTCAATACTAGAAAGTTCTCCAGAGAACAAGGACACTTCACAAAGATTGTAAATTAATTTCATTCTCACCCCAGAGGACTGCTGGTTTTGAGATAATGCCAAACGAGCATGGCCTCGTCTAATTCTACGTTCTACTTCTGCAAGTAAACTCTGTAAGTATCGAAGAAAATCTCTCTCATAGCCAACTTTCATGAAACGAGAACTCTTTTCATACCTGATAAAAATGAAAATAAACAAGCATTAAATTTTTTCCAGATCTCTATTCATTACAATTCACATATTCTACCATTACAAGTCCCATAGTTGCATTTAGGCTAAAAGGTAAACTAGGTATTTAAGAAGTGAATTTCTAGTTGTCCCTCCTCCTGGTAAAGGGAAGGTGGTATTTAACATTATGTTTGGTTAAGAGCATAGGTTTTACAATCAGGCAAATCTAGGTGCTTCAATACCAGCTCTACTACTGTATTTGATCTGTGACCTGGACAAGTCTCATTTATAAAACCAGGGTGTCAATAAGCAGCTGTGACGTATCATTATTGGAAGCTACGACTTTCTGCCACCCCCAACTAATGAATAGGATGGACCTCTATCAGGCATTCATTTTACACTAATTCCAATTATTTCTTCACTCCTTTTCCTCTTTAAACCAATGACTGGGAAGAAGGGAGATGGGGGATGACCAAAAACAAAAATAACTTACTGTTTTCGTAGATTTTCATCATGAATTTTTTCACATGGACCTGAAGAAAAAAAACGAGAAATATGAATGTACATAAAGTATTGGTGACCTTACCAACTTTTCCTCTTGCTAAAATAAAAAGTTCCTTCTTCAAATAAAGGGGAAAAAGATTCATTTTTATCATTTGAGTAGTCTGTAGGTACCTAAATCGAGCCTAATGAATAATGAAGCAACATGCCCAAATAAGCACACGAAAACTGTTTTCCTTAGTCTTAGAGATCAGTATAATGGAGAGCAACTGTATGTTAAGAAAAGAGAGAGCGGGAGGAAAGAGAAAATTGTTCCTTACTGCCACCCAAGAAAAAAACTCTGATGAGGGTGTACTGGTCAGAACCACCACTGACATCTTGTTAATTTTGAATATCTGCACATGTAGTCAAACAGTACAAGACTAGCACCCTAGTCTCATCCCTTCCCACCTCTAAAAGGCTACCAATTTTAACTGTTAGCTGTTTCTTCTGGATATTTATAAAGTATCCATATATTCATAAATTCAATGCTTATTTTAGTTGATGTTGGGCATCAAAATTTTAGATTAAATAACTATTCAGTGTTTATAGTTTGACTATGTAAGTACTATTAACTGCTGAGCCAACAAAAGGTGCATTATGATGACACTGAATACACTTCATACTTTGTTAGAATTCTTCATTTGTTTAGTTTTCTATTTACTTCCAAATTCTTCTCAAACACTTTAACTCAGCTATAGAAACTATCTCAACAATAACTTCCTTCAAGATTCAAAACACATCAGAAAATCAGCTTCAGTTTCTTCCACGAATTTTCTGATCTCTTCAATATGGGCTGCTTATTTTCTAAGCCCACTAACAGAGTTGTCATCCTAAGAAATTCCTTTTCTGGTCTGTTTTGAATGCAGTTTACTGGATCTCTTGTTTTTCTCCTTCTTGGTTTATGCCCTTGTGTTGGTGGAATTTCCAGGGAAAAGGTTCATGGGAGATATATTTGTTGAGATCTTGCATGTCTGAAAAAAAAAATCTCTTTTCACCCTCACACTTTCACCTTTGGCCATAAAGCCAACCTAGGTAAAAATATTTGTCAGTCAGAATCCTCAGGGTGTTTCTCCAATGTCTTCAAGCTTCCAGTGTTGTTACCGACAAATCTGAAGCCAGTCTGATTCACAATCTTGTGTGCCCACCCCCAAGATGTTCTGAAATTTCACAATGGTGTGTCTTCTTGGTATGGATCTTTTTCACTTACTGTGCTGAGTACATGAAGACCACATTCAATCTAGAGACTAATATCCTTCAGTATTGCAAATTTTAAATTTTTCTCCTTTCTGTTTTCTCTATCTGGACCAGTGGTTCTCAACCTTGGCTGCACATTAGAATCACCTGGGAATCTTTTTAAAATCCTGATTTCTGGGCCTCATCCTCCAGAAATTCTGTTTCTTTGTTATGGGGTGGGGCCACAACATTAGTAACAAAGAAACAGAATTTCCAGAGGATGAGGCCCAGAAATCAGGATTTTAAAGATTCCCAGGTGATTCTAATGTGCAGCCAAGGTTGAGAACCACTGATCTAGACTCTTACTTCAGCTATTAAGAGAGCTGGGCTAATATTTTAAATCTTTTCTGTCCAATGACCCAACACTCCAGCAAATTTTCTTGATTTTATTCTCAAAATTTTCCAATGATTTCATTTCAGATTTCTCCAGTTCTAATTTCAAGAACTCTTTTTGGTTTTTCAAAAGTTTCATTTTTATATAGCATCCTATTCTTCCTGATATCTTCTAATTTCTCTGATACTAAATTTAGTTAAAACTTTGTTTTCCTTATCTCTAACTCCACTAAATTCTTTTTCACTGTTAGTTTTGGTTAATCTTTCATGTGGAAGGTTTTCTTCAATGTCTGACTGGTGTCCTTGCCTGGGAAACACTTCCAACATCTGACTGGAAGTTGGTATGCACAGGCAGGGTTTGTCAACTAATAGGAGCTTTACCCACTGGAAAATCAGGCATCAAGACTTTCTTTTAGAAGACTCCCCAAGGATCAGTACCTGTAGATCACTTCTCGGGAACTGTTCACTTTCTCTAAAGAATCCTCTTCTCTTCTGCCTGGGGAAAAACATCTGGCTGTATTCTTCTAGGAACAGGGCAGAGGAGGGAATGGGAAAACCCCACTATTAAGAATATAGACTCAGTTAATCTCTCACAGTCTTCAATTTTACTCTTACTGCCCTGTGCTATGTCTGGAGTCCCAATACCTAAACTCTTCCAGCCCTGATGTGCTCCTAATGCTATAGGGCAAGCATTGTGCTTAGTGAACTTCTCTTTTATGGTTCTAAAACAATACTAGTTCTGTACAATCCTTGGGAGAATAGTAAGTCAGTTTTTTTGTTGTTGTTTTTTTTAATCTTGTGGTTCAGTTGAACTAGAGTCTCTTTAATTTCTCCAGAAAGTAACCCTCAGGAATGAGAGAGGAAGAATCACCATATGCACAGGTTTTAAGGGCTGGATCACCTAGACTAGTGGTCAACAGAGGGGGATTATGTCCGTCTCCACCGAGACATTTGGCAGTGCCTGGAGACATTTTTGGTTGTCACAATTGGGGGTTGCTATTGGCATCTAGAGACTAGAGGCCAGGGATGCTGCTAAACATCCTATAAAACACAGGACAGACCCCTAAAACAAGAAAATTACTCAGCTCAAAATGTCAAATGTCAAGGGGAAAAACCCTTAACTAGACTTTCCATTTTCAGTCCCGTGACTCAACTCTGCCTTCTATGGTACCTGGTGCCTCCAAATCCTGAGTCTGTCCACAGTTTTGCTGATCAAACACTTATTTCTGTTTAATATCCCCTTCTGCAGGCTAAATTTTAGGGTACAGGTTTCTCTGCTCTGTTGTTTGTAGCTACTCTTCCATCCACTTTGTCATCTTCCAAAAATTTGTTGACATCTCTAATGATATCTCCTCTTCCATTTATACCTTTTTTGTTTTTAAAATTTCATTTTAGTGGATAGGATTAAGGAGGGAATGTAAACAAACATGTATAATTAACTAAACTGACATTTATTAATAGGTTCAAAAATCTAAGCCAGGAAAGAAATTTCTTTATCAACAATCCTTTAAGATAAAACATTTCAGAATGGTAAAGTGCCATTTTAAATCATAAATTTGATTGTTACATAGAAAATTCACTTACCAAGATCTGAACGAGTATTTGTGAACAATTCCGCAGGACAAAAACCACAGAGATAATATTTACAAACCTAGTGAAGAAAAACAAAGGTGCTTAACCTTAACGTGTCAAATAACTATTTTCTCATTTCTGGATCTTCATCTTTCAACCAAGTAAGTATAAGAACAATTTCATTTGTTAGACCTTTATTAGTTAGGTGATTAGTGGCTTCTGGACTCCTGCATTTCAGTGAGATATGTAAGACTAACGAAGAGATACCAGCTTTTAAAATCACTAACCACCGATGCCCCCCCCGCCATAGCAACAACAAGTATGGGATGATATCTAGAAAAAAAAAATATTTGTTTTTTATAAAAAACAAAAACCCACCAAAACACCCTACACTGTTCTTATTGTTCTAACACTGTTAAAGACCAGAACCAATTTACAGAACCAAGTCATAATAAAGATAACATCCAATTTCTGCTTTTGATACTCTACTCCCATTTTAAATTTATCATGTTGGCAATAGTTAACCTATTATTTTGAAACCGTCATATACATTTTTTCATTTAAAAATCAGGAATACCTGGAAATTTTACTGATGAGGGTTAAAAAAAAAAAAGCCCATCACTCTGTAACCTTACTCACTTCTACCATGGTTGAACCATTCGAAACCACGGTGCCAAAAGAATTTTTAAGACATGCAATACCCAAATTTAGTCAGGGGCATTGACCTCTCTTCCCTTAGATTGTTAAAAAAAAAAAAAAAATGACAACAGCTAACACAATAATAGCGTGTGATGTGAATGACAATTATACTTTTCTTTTGGTCACAGCAGCAAAAAATATATTTTTTGGTGTGCCGCAGAATATTAGTAATTAGTTTGTGTGTGCCATGAGATGAAAAAGGTTGAAAATTGCTGGCTTAATGACTACTCTGGCTGGAAACAAATGCTTCTTTTTAGCTAAAAGAGTTGAATTCATTGTGTGGGTTTTTTTTTTTTTTAAAGAGAAAATGTTTACTATAAGAATTTATAACAAAAATATTCAGTCCAAGCCGTAACCGGTTTGGCTCAGTGGATAGAGCATTGGCCTGCGGACCAAAAGGTCCCAGGTTCAATTCTGGTCAAGGGCATGTACCTTGGTTTCGGGCACATCCCCAGTAGGAGGTGTGCAGGAGGCGGCTGATCGATGTTTCTCTCTCATCGATGTTTCTAACCATCTCTCTCCCTTCCTCTCTGTAAAAAAATCAATAAAATATATATTTAAAAAAAAAATTCAGTCCCTGATAACCTACTGTGTCAGGGTTCAACTATACGTGTTCACACTTTCTATTGTAATTCATTTGCATGCCTTTTATCACATATACACCTTTGCAGTTATGGTTCAGTCTTTTTACTGCCTACTCAAATGTTGGTAACATTTTAATCAATTTTCCATAGCATGCCCATCTAGCCACATGCACCCCCCCCCCCAAAAAAAAAACCACCAAGAGCCTTAGCTATAACACTATTTAAGATTCCTCAGGCCCTAGTAACACTTGTCTTCTCTCCCACTCCTTCAGGCTAATTCCTACTAATCCTTTAGGTCCCAGCATTTAAGGGTCATTTTAGGAGGCCTTTCCCGAATACCCCAGGCTGGGTTAGGTGCACCTCTCATTTGTGCTTTTCTCCACTGTGGCACTCGTCACATTGTGTTATGAAGTGCATTCACTCCTTCATATCTGCCACCAGACTGGTGTTCTCTCAGGCCAAGTGCTGTATCTATACTATGCTATATACTACTATAGCTTAAGAGCAATACACTTTTGTTGAATGAATGCAGGAATTCCCCCAACTTACAATTAACAAATGAGAAAATTAAGCATAATTCATAAAATAAGGAAGCACTACATTACTAACTTAAGCTACTTTTTCCCCTTGTGAAGAAATCAAGTCTAATGATACAGTACACACCCACACTTTCCCTAAAGCAATCAATCAAATATGTACTTGAACATTTTCAGTGTTGATAATAGCATTGTCCTTTTTTTTTGTCTCTGTATTTTAGAAATACATAATGATATCATTAAGGCTGAAGTGATGAATTCTCCAAAATAATGGAAGGGGCAGAGAATATAGAGGAAATAATATTGGCCATGTGTTGATAATGTCATATTGGGTATGGGTACATGGAAGCTCAAACTATTCACCCTACTCCTTATGTATGCTCTGAGGAGAAAAGGCAAACAGCAGTTAAGAACACATATTAACACAGACTGCTGGCAACTCCGAGAAGCCAACACTCACCTGCCTGCCATGCATAGAGTAAGGCAGGAAACGCCTGCATTTCTGACAGAAGAACATTCTGGTGACTCTGAATTAAAAATATCTAGTAAAATACTTGAAAGCTCACAAAAATGGTGGACAGAAGTCTTAACTGTTTTTTTCTTTTCTAAGTAACTTCCAAAGTTGATGACAATGTTTGTTAACATTTTGAAGATTTTAGAAAAGAACATTTAATTCAATTCCCCCCTTTAAAAAATGTTTCAGAGAGAGGGACATTGATTTGTAGTTCCACTTAATTATGCATTCATTGGTTACTTCTTGTATGTGCCCTGAGATCGAACCCCCAACCTTGGCATGTCAGGACCATGCTCTAACCAACTGAGCTACCTGGCCAGGGCTCAATTCCCTTTTTAAATAATTAAACCTCCACTGAACAGAGGGCATACTTCAATTTGATAAATGATAAAAGAAATCTCATTTTAGGTATAATGAGAATCAGAGTTAAGTCAACAGTTACATAATTTCACATTTGGGTTGAGATCTATAATGTAAAAATCTCATTTTGAACTACAAAATTCTTACCTATTCTGATAATAACAAGGCTTCTAATGCTTTCTCTGGCAAACACTGAAATCTTCTCATGTGGACACTAACTGAAAGATGCTCTCACTAGACTAGGCAGTTAAAATCATATGCTTTCCTCATTACTGCGGTTGGTTAGGATTAACAAAACTGTTTAACGCAAAATACAATCACAAGGAATAAAATACTAACAAACGAGGCAAAAAGGTGTGTCAATGAATCCTTGGAACACTAAGGCTGATTTCACTTCAGCTGAAAACTTTCCCTCAAATCCAAAGCAATCTGCAAAGGAGTTGGGAACACCTGTTAAGTACAAAAGGCCCTTCCCAAGACTCACTTTTGGTAGTGGAAATATATACATCATTACAAATAAATGAAAGGTGGATAATTTGTATCACAGATGCACCTTACACTTAAAAACGAGCTTTCCCAAGTGCTACTCACAATTAAGAATCCAGGACTAAGAGGTGGGTTAGGAAGCAGTATAATGCTTAAGAGGCCATTATAAAATATGCAGATTTCTGGAGCCTTCCCCCAGACACGCATAATTAGAAGGGGGGAAGGGGTGAAATGCAGAAACCCACATTTAAAACAAATTATACAGGTCTGATATAGACATCTGGGAATGACTTTTAACAATAAGGTAAAGACCTAGCGGGGTAGCTCAGTCGGTTAAGAGCAACGTCCTGATACACCAAGGTTGAAGGTTCGATCCCTGGTCAAGGCACATACAAGAAACAACCAATGAATGCATAAATAAACGGAACAAATTGATGTCTGTCTCTCCCCTCACCCCTCCTCTCTCTCTAAAATCAATAAATGTTTAAAAATTAAACAAATAAAACCACTAAGGTAAAAGTTTCCATTTCAATCATTAAACAAAATAACCCCATCCAGCCGAAATTGCTTTCCCCAACTAGTGCAAAACTTGCAAAGAAAAAAATTTCAATTACAATAGGAATGGAAATGGAAAATATTTTGAAATAGCAGGTTACAGTGAAGGTGAAACCCCTACATTTATATGCAGGAGTTGTCCTTACTCCAAGATTTTAGCACTAACAGCCAGCATAAAATAGCCAAATGACCCGGAAGTGGTGCCACGAACTTCCCAGTAATTCTGACTTATTTAGAAGAGGCCATGTGCTTTGTTCCTGGTCAATGCCAACCTTTCCCCTGCAGTCCTGAATCTGAAATACTAGTAATTGACTTTTTCAAATCCCTGAATCTGGAATGAAGTGCAATCTGTCATTAAAGGCATAAAATACTTTGGTGACAAGTACCAAAAGTTTAAATCAGCGAGAAACACTAAAACTGAAAAGTAAACGGCTGAGATGACATAAAACCTAACTTGCTATTCTGAGAGCCTCATTGCTAATGTTATAAACCTGTAACATATAATGCAATGTGGGAATAAATACCACCACGGAAACAGTTTCTCCACAACCCTGTTCAAAAAACCAAGGAGGTACAGCATAGGCGGCTCCAATCCACAAGGAGGCAATCAAAAGCGATTTTCCCTTTGATTCAAAATTGATAACTGTCTTTTTTGTACATCAACTAAATACTTTTCTGGGGAAAGCTTAGATGGAAAGATTACTGAGTTAAGTGGTAAAAGAAAAAGTTACCACACTGTGAAAAAGAAATGCCTACAAAAAAAGAGGGTCAAGACAAACAACAAAACTACTGTCTCCTATTTAGACAAATAAGGGGGGAACCCCAAAATATTAAAAACCTACAAACTTTCTAAAAGCTTCACTTCTCTTGAGGTCCATGCCAAATATGGGACTCTGACCCCACACACTGAATTCTACCTTAACCCTTCACACTATGGGATCAGGTAGCATCCCGATCCTTTAAACCAGTGGTTCTCAACCTTCCTAATGCCGCGACCCTTAATACAGCTCCTCATGTTGTGGTGACCCCCAATTTCATTGTTACAAATTTAACATAATGAAAGCATAGTGATTAATCACAAAAACAATATGTAATTATATATGTTTCCCAATGGTCTTAGGCGACCTCTATGAAAGGGTCGTCCGACCCCCAAAGGGGTCGCGACCCACAGGTTGAGAACCGCTGCTTTAAACACACACGCATGTTTCGATGCACGGAAAGGACTCGGGTGGCACTAACTTGTTTCCAGGCGCTGCAAAGAGATTTTACTCTGGCCAAAGCTTGTGTTTAGAGAGTAAGCAACTAACTTTTTAAAAAAAATTCTATTTGTTTAACCATTCCTTCTTATTTTGATTAGCGACTGCCTTTAAATTACCATGTTGTTTGATTATAACGGCAAGCCAAGTCAAGTTAAAACCCTACATCTGTTCTTCAGGTAAGACTTAAAATAACCGTTATTGCTCCACGTTCAAAACACCTGGAATACATGAGGGTCTTTTCAGAGAACCGACTGCATGGAAGTGTGAGCAGGGCCACCAAGGCTTGGCTTCGCCACTTAACCGGCCGGCAGATCCCGGGTGGGTGAGCCTCCCGAGCCCCACCTGGGAAACTGGGGGTGTAACAGTTACCCTCACTCACAGGGTCAGAGGACCAAGCGAGTTTTCTAAGAAAAGGCTTTGACAAGCGCTGACTAGAACGTGCTACTATCCAACAACATTTGCAAACAAACCTTTGTAAATACGGGTGAACCCGACCAAGTTAGGACCTCTTTAAAGATTCATTCCCCCAGATAAGCCTCCATTCAGAAATCGGACTACTGTCCCCACGAACCCTGGCCAGAAACGTCGGTCTCGCTACGTCGCTCAGCCCAAATAACGGGAGAATGTATGCTTTTCCCTATTTCATTATGAAATGAAGATTCTGGAGCCCCCGATACAGTAACTCCTTCCCCGCGTGTCCCCTGCGCTGCCTCGACACCAAAACCAAAACAAATCATCCCTCCTGCCCGGACCCGGGCAGACTCCTCCCTCCCAGGCCACGCTCCCGGCTCCCGCCGGCCACGGGCTCAGACACCCGACAGCGTCGCGGTCCTGGCCCCCCGCCCCGAGTCGAGCCGCGGGGACCGGCGGGCCCAAGCCCGCGCCGCCTCCCTCCCCCACGGCGCCCGGGCACAGGCCCAAGGCCCGCGGGACTTACGCTCTCGTGGTCCCACCGCACGTTGCTGCGCTTCTCATCCGGGGCCAGGTTTCGGTCCCGGCCCATTAACTCATCCAACAACTGCGCGGCCGAAATCATGGTGCTTCCCTCGAGCCGCTGCTCCCGCCAGCCCTGGCGCCCACTGAGGAAAACGCCGGCGACCCCGTCGCCAACCTCTCCGGCCGGCACGCTGGCCGAAAAAGCCTCCTCCAAAAAGAAGCCGATAAGACAAAATGGCCGCCGCGCGGGCGCTTTCCCAGCGTGCAGCGCGCGCGCGTGCGCCCTCGGGGTCACGCCCAAGTCTGGGAGGTGAGGTCGGGCCCGCTTCCGCCGGCCCAGGGGGCGGGGCCAGCCGAGGCCGGGCCGCGACTCCGCCCCTCCGCGGCACCGCCCCACTCCGCTCCTGGCGGAGCCCGAGGCTCAGCGCGCTGTGGCTCAGGCCACCGGTTTCCACGAGCGCCCGTCTTCCCGAGCGCCTTCACGGGGAGAAATCGGAGCCTCCGTCTCGGAACTTCAGCACGGCTCCGAAATGGAGGAAAGAGCCGCGTGTCCCTGTGTCCCACGCGACCACCCGGTGCCATCTTCCAGTGCAGGAAACTCATTCCACGTTCAGACTCCATTTTCCCAGTTCCTGCGCTGCGAGGGGTGGAGGGGGGGGAAAAGGGGAGCCCTTCCACCTGGCCTGGTCCTCCCACCCCAATTCCCCTGATTCACGGAGTGCGAAGTCGAGGCAGAGATAGGCGGTTTCTACAAGCGAAGTGCAGCGATTCAGTCCTGCACCTGATGCCTCCCAGTCTGGAATTTTTTTTGAATTGTCGATTCATTTATTCAATTACCTGAGTACTTACTATGTGCCAGGCAGCTCTTGAGGCTTGACGCTAAGCTTGGAACCTTTCAGACACAGCCCTGCTTCCATAGACCTTGAGGATCAGTGAGGGAGACAATCACTAAAGAAATATCAACTCTGTCAGTATAAATCGGGGTACGGATGCTAAAGCCAGATTTCCTGGGTTAGCAATCCCAGCTCTGCCATGCAACATGGGGCTTATGATAATAACTAGAGGCCCGGTGCATGAAATTCGTGCATGGGTAGGGTCCCTAGGTCTGGCCGGCAATCAGGGCTGATCTGCAGGGCCCCCACTGGTACCCACCTTGGCCGGCTTGGTGTTGCCTGCTCACCAGCCACCTCTTACCCCCTATAGCCGCCCCCCCTCCACCGAAGTTGGCCTCCCTCTACAGAGCGATGATCAGCAGGGGGGTAGGGGGGACCCCTGCTAGCAGCCGCCCTGGCGGGCCCTTCAGCTGAGGGCAGCTCCTGTGTTGAGTGTCTGCCCCTATTCAGCTTTTATTATATAGGATAGTCCCCTACAGATACAAAATTACTGTGAATATTAAGTGAATTGATACAATGTAAGGCGTGAAAAACAGGCCTAACACATTCTGAGTCCACGTAATCATTAGCTATATGATCAGGGGGAAAGCATGATCCTCTCAAAGAGTAAATAAGAAGTCTCTCTGTGGAAATGACTTAAGACCTAAAAGACCGTAAAGCTCCAGCCAAGCACAGTGAGTAGAAAAGAATTAGAGGCTGTTAGACATGAGCAGAGCAAGGACGATGGGCCAGGTACAGAAACTCCCCGGGGCGGGCAGAAAGCCCCAGATGCCTAGCAAGGGGCAAAACCTTGCCCTCAGGGTGGCCTGTCCTGCTCTAGCATATCATTCACTGGTCATGTGGTTTTGGACCCCAGATATTTCATATCGACAGGCAGGCAGTTTAGACCTCCTGACCTTTTCCTCCCTAAAGATGACATCTAGGCCTCAGTTGTACCTCAGCTCCCAGGCCCAGAAAAGCAGAAAAATCAGACCAGTGACTCCGTGGCTGCCTCAGGACCAGCTACATTGACTAATGACCCCCGCCCTGGACCGACCAATCCGTGGAGACCAGGACCCTGAAAGAGCACACCTGGAAAGCTGATGACTATTCTATTAAGTCCCTCCCTGAGACCTCCCCTAAGATTTCCACCTGCAAGAAAGAGATAAATATTCCTCTGCCATTCCCTTTCCCCTCTCCTCCCCCCACAGGCAATTAACTCCTATCCTTGAAGGGACCCCATGAGGCTTGCAACCAGGGGAGCAATGGGCAGTGGCACCTCATACCAGGTAACCCCCTGAACCTGTCTCGAAGGCCCCCTTTTCCCTGACTTCCCAGTGAGCCAAAGCAGCCCAGCCTCAGCTCTCCTGTTGCTTCTTCTATGCCCTTCCTTATTTTACTATCCTAAGTATATTTTTGCTGCCATCATTGACCCAATAATCCCTTGGCTCGGTGCTGTGCAACCTTTCCCTTTGGATATCCCATTCCTCATCCCCTTCCCTTAAATAAATTCGCTTTTTCTTTATCCACCATCTGAGATGGCTATTTAGCCTGCCCAGGTATCGCCACGTTAACCTTTCAAAGGCCTCATCCCCAGTACTTGAGAATGTGACTGTATTCAGAGACAGCGCCTTTAGAAAGATGGCTAAGTTAAAATGAAGCATTTAGACTGGGCCCAGGCCAATGTGACTGGTGTCCTTAGAGGAAATTTGCGATGAGCCAGCGATGAACACAGAAGAAAGATCACGTGAGGCTGCAGCAAGAAGGCTACTATACGCAAGCCAAGAAGAGAGGCCTCAGGAGAAACTAAACCTGCTGACATTGATCTTGGACTTTGAGCCTACAGAACTATGGGAAAGTTCCTTTAGGTCAGATACATTTCTTACTCATCTGTGTGCTCCCAGATTCCTGCCTAGTATGTAACAAGTAGGAGGTGTTGCAACTTCCCTTTCCAAGGTCACCAGCAGTCTCCTTGTGGATAAATCCATTCTATACTTTTTAGTCCTCTCTTTCTTGCCTTTTCGGCAGCATTTGACCCTGTAGATCACTCTTTTCTGCCAAACCCTCCCACTCCTTTGCTTTTCCCCTTACTATTCCAGCGGCTCCTCCTCAGTCTCATTTGAGGATTTCTCAAATGTTGGCTATTCTGAGGGATTATATCTCGAGCTGTCTCCTCTCAGCACTCAATACGCTGTCCTGGGGCCATCATCTCCTTTCCCATAACTTCAGGTAGCACCCTTTGCTGATGACAGCCAAACCCAAATCACTGAATGCCACACCCATATACACAGCTATTAACCGGGTATCTCCACTTAAAAGAAAGTCAGAAGAGAAAGCACAGGCTCTGGAGTCTAGCTGCTTGAGCTCAAAGCCTTGCTCCCTCACTAAGCTGTATGGTATTGGGCAAGTTACTTACCTCTTTGTGCCTCAAATAATGATTAGTAATAATGATAATGATAATGATGGGGCTGTTGTGGGTACTAAATGAGATAATTCATAGATAATTCATATGCAGCACATAGTGTAATGCCTAGCAATCCTATATAATAAAAGGCTAATATGCAAATTCTCCCCTAGACTGGGAGTTCATGCAGGGGGCGGGGCCAGCCGGCCAACTGCCCGAGGCCCCTCCCCCCACCAGCCCGACCTGATCGCCCCCCATCGGGGTGGGCTGGCAGGACCCCACCCATGCACAAATTTGTACACTGGGCCTCTAGTAGTAGTAATAAAAGACCTTCAACAGATTCAAAAGTGAATTCATCACCATACCTGAGACTTTCTCTTCTTTCTTTGTCCTAAATCTCAGTAAATGGCAACACTATCCACCTAGCCAGAACCCTGGGTGCTATCTTTGTTTCCTGACCACCACTGCCCTCCTATCCTCTTAGGGACTCTTCCTGGGCTTAACCATGTTGGAATATACCTGTGACCCATGAAGTGTTTCTGATGTCCAGGCTTGACACATATTCATTCATTCAATCCAGAGAACAGTCCTGCAAAATAGGTGCTAGTATTATCATCCCTATTTTGCAGATACAAAATTTGAAGCACAGAAAGATTTAGTAACTCATCCATGATTATATGAGAGGCAAAGCTGGATCAACCACTATGCCATATGCCATAGTGTTTCTATTGTAACACTGACCACATTCTGTGGTTTCCCTCCTCTCTCCTGTTAGACTATGTGTTCTCTGAAGTCTCTGATTTGTTTGCAACAGCATCTTCAGTGACTAGAACAGCGCTCAGCAAAAGGTGCCTGCTTAATACACCCAGGGAGCTGGATAATCCCTTAGAGATAAGACAGAGAATAAAAAAATGGAAAGCAAAAGAATAGCCATTGGCTTGCATGCAGTCACGGCCAGGATTAGAGATTTTGTTTGTGGAGAAGGTTTTTTTTTTTTATATATATATATTTTATTGATTTTTTACAGAGAGGAAAGGAGAGAGACAGAGTCAGAAACATCGATCAGCCGCCTCCTGCACATCCCCCACCAGGGATGTGCCCGCAACCCAGGTACATGCCCCTGACCGGAATCGAACCCGGGACCTTTCAGTCCGCAGGCCGACGCTCTATCCACTGAGCCAAACCGGTTTCGGCGGTTTTTGTTTTTATATGTGAGGACAACAAGCAAAAGATTGAAGTTAGAGGTAAGTAGAGGATGAGTTTAAGGAGATACTAATATTCACGGATTCACGGATTCACGGATTCACCAATTATAGAGCACATGCTATAATCCTTTTAAGAGAGACAAATTTGAGAAATAAATTCTTATAACAGGAATTCACAGTCTTCTGAGTGCAGTCACTACCGAATTTTTACAACTGCTTTTTAGAAAAAGAGAGGCTACCACCTACTCCCGTGTTACTCAAATTGTGTTAAAGAATCCAATTTCAGCGTCATGCAAGGCAGTTCAGGTGACGTATCATGCTGGAGCTGAGAAAATTTAAATTGGGGGACAAATAAAAATAAATAAAAAGCTCAGAATTCCAATTTGCCCTGGGGGTCCATTTAAGCCTGCCGTTACCATCACCTGGGGCACACTGTGTACTGAGTGGATTCCGCCATCACAATAAACAGACAGGTTGTTTTTCTTAAACAGTATCAAGAAGAATGCTTGCTGTGCCGGCCCTGGGCAGCTCCAAGGGAGGGAAATGAGAACTCCATCCCTGAGTTTGTCCCTTCCTGTTTCAGCTCCTCTCTTTGTTCAGGCCTTCCTCCTTTCCACTGCAGGGCCATTTCCTTAATCCTCCTGACCCCATCTGCAAGGTGCCCTCTGTGCCACACTGGAAAACCTCTCAGAAGCACCTGCGCTCAGCACAACAATGATTTTATTTTTCACCCGCTGGGCGATAAAGCAGGGCCACGCGTGCGCAGAACCTCATTAGGTTGACCAGGCAGAGTCAGGCAGAAAGAATCCTGTTTGCATCCGCACCATAGCTCTCCCTGAAGCTCCAAAAAGCCTCTTTGGTGGCCTTTTCTTTCTTTTTTTCCTTACATGGCCTTCATGAAGAGTAACTAATTATGATCTATAAGCAGTAATACATGGCAGTTTACAGACTCGAGGCACAGTATACATATTTCCCCTGAAAGCCAAGCTAGAAGACATCCCTGTTAGGAGAAATGAGATGTAAAACCACGGGGCAATTGAAATAAATATTCGAACTAAATGGTCCAAGCACTGTCAGAAGAAGAAAGAGCCCTGTAATCTATCTCTGCAGTGACGGGCTTATAATAATAGGATCGTTGTCGGCCCATTTCCCCATCCTGCTGGGCAAGAGTTGGCTCAAATAAGGAGAAAGACTCAAACGACCTGGAGGGGGAAAAACACACACAAAAAACCAGCAATTATTTGTGATGCCCGGTAAACACCTGCGCCAGAGGATCAGCTTTGCTGGCTCTCAAACATGCAT